TACTGAGAACTTTCTAAATATAAAGTAATGAATTTACTGTATTTAAATTATTTTTAAATAATGATATCTGTGGACTAAAGTGGTATATGTGTGTCACCGATGTAAATTATTTCAGTATCAAATATCTATTGAGGGACCAGCAATGTGGCGCACTGGGTTGATCCTTCGCTTGCGGCACCGGCATCCCATGTGGGTGCCAGTTCTAGTCCCTGCTGCTCCTCTTTCAATCTGGCTCTCTGCTGTGGCCCGGGAGTGCAGTGGAGGATGGCCCAGGTGCTTGGGCCCCTGCATCTGCATGGGAGACAAGAAGGAAGCTCCTGGCTTCGGATCGGCGAGTTCCGGCCTTTGCGGCCATTTGGGTAGTGAACCCGTGGAGGGAAGGCCTTTCTCTCTCTCTCTCTCTCTCTCTCACTGTTCCCTCTGTCTCTCTCTCACTGTCTGTGACTCTACCTCTCAAATAAAATAAATAAAATCTTTTAAAAAAATCTATTGAGTACACCAATCTGTGTCCTGCAGTGCCAGGCTCTGAGCTAATAACTGAAAATAAAACAGCTGTGACGCTACCCTCCTATGTGAGTTTGTGAGCATTACTCTATAGAAAGAATGGTTTCTGTATAGTTACATGAAATCTGAAAAATGTGAATTTAGGTTTTGGAAGTTGGGATAGCAATGAATGCAGTGAATCAAGGAACAACACAGAAATCCACACATCCAGGACAGAACCGTGTGGGCCAAGGGGCGAGTCAGATGGTCAGCATGTCCTGTGCGAGTTTGGGCAAATCCGTTCAATTATCTTGTCTCTGGTTTCTTAATTCCAAAATTAGCAGTGAGACTGGATCTTATAAACACACTTCTGATGTCTTACATTGAACATCAGATAGTTTGGGGGACTTTCATTCCTTACTCCAGACTGCATGGTCAGTGCCAGGTTAGATCTTGGTTTATACCTGCAGGTATTGTGAGAACGAGGGCTAAAACTGGGACCTGAGCCTCATAAGCCTTCCTCTGTATAAAACCAGTCAAGTGTTTGTATTACGATGTCTGCTACAAAGTCGCTTAACACCTTACCTTTCCTTCATAAGACTAATCTGATGTGGAAGTAAGAAAGAGGAAATCACAATGATGCAGATGGAACTGGATCTTGGACATCCTCTGATAACTTGAAAGTCCAAATCAACTCCGTTCTCATGATGCTACCTACCTGTTGATGATTTGGGGATGTGAATCAGTTTTCAACTTCTGAATCAGGATTTTCAAGTTCTGAAGCAAAAAGAAATGATGTATAATTTGGGGATTAAAAACGCGAGCAGTGCTAACAGGGTAGTGGGAGATAGCAGGTGCTTGAGGTAGGAAGCCCGATAGGCGATGAGAGGCAAGCAGGGAGAAACTGTATGGCTGGCGTAGCTCTGTGGCACACATATGGATGTTAAACCTGAGTCCTTTTTGCGACTTCTTTGAACGTGGCTGACATGGGGTGCCTGGCCAGTATGAGTTGAGAATGCAGCTGGTGTGGAGTCTTCAGTGCCTAGAGGGAAGAGGAGTAAGCCTCAGTACCCAACCAGCTGACAAGGACTGTGAAACCAGTTCTTTCATCAGAAGGCAGAGGCACAGGAAATAACGTGGAAACAGAGAACAGCAAGGGCCCAGAGGATGAGCTCTGGGGAGCGGCCAGGCCTGCAGAGCAGAGCATGTTGCTTTTGGTGACCCGCGCTTCCCAAAATACTCAGGCTCATCACTTGTAGCAACCGAAGGATCAGCAAATACTGTTATTAAATCATGAAATCAGAGGAAATCCAACAAAAACTGAACAGAAAATATTGTGTGCTGTCTGTGGCCTTCATTGAATTACTGTCATCTCCTTGATGTGACATAGAAATGTCTAAGAATATGCCTGCCACATTTTTAGTGTGTGTTGTTTTTCTATTCATCCCCTGTGTGTTTTTTTTTCCATACCTGATGTTTACTGAGGACACTGAAATGTACTTTTTGTATTAAAGAAGATAAAATAAAATTGAATATTGTAAGAAGAATGAATTTTGTAAGAGTTCTGAGTTTTATTTCAGAACGTGAACCTAAAATAATGGAAACTTTTTGTTCATTTTTAATGTATTTGTCTAAATGAGAGCAGGTGTCAGATGCACAAAATACCCATTTAATTCTCTGAATGGCTTATTGCCATAATTAAGGTTTTCTGTTTATTAAAAATATAAATTTCAGCCTTTGTATTGTGGATACTTAGAAAGAAAAACAAAATCTTATGATAGATTTTGAATTCAAAGAAAATCAGATTTCTCTCTTGAGACTGTTGAGAGAAGGAAGATGCTTATGCACATACTCTGAAATTATCACCTGAACCAGTAAGCTCTCTTTTCAAGTGCTGCTTGGCTTGCATTTTTAATAATATCTGTGGTACCCTGGACTTTGTACAGACAAGGACTCTGAGTTGCTCAGCTTATAATCTTGCAAGGTGCTGTTATTCTACTTGCTTTTACTTGCTATCAAGACTCTCCTAGACTATATGATGCAGAAATGTGTGTTCTATAAGAGATTTAAAGCCCTTGATTTAAAATCCTTTTTGTCGCTCCCCCTCTTCGTGGAGGAACGACACAAGACCCTGCGCTGTTCTCTCGTCTGCTCGGCCCTCCCCGGGTTTGCTGCTGGTTCTTCCTGGGTTGGCTACTATCCCTTCCACCTCCGTGGAAGGGCAGTTCCCCCTGGCCGCATTCCCCACTTCCGCAGGGGAGTGGCACACCGCCGGCCGGCTCTTCTCGGGGGCTGCACAGGTGTTCCCTCAGATGTTCCCCCTAGATGTTCCTGGTGCATGCCGTCTCTCTCCTCCTTTATAGTCCTGCTCCGCCAATCCTAACTCGGCTGCCCACACGCCGAGTACGCTGCTCTCCTCCAATCAGGAGCAAGTCCTACAGTTTATTGGTTGAACTGGAGGCAGCTGTGCAGAAGCTGTTTACTTCTCTCCCAGCGCCATATTGTGGGAGAGCAGATGCATAGAATAAGTCTTAATTCCAGTAACTCAGTCCAGTCCGGGCTGCTCCCCACACTTTTGGGTCTTTTTCTGGAGAACTATCACAAAAAATATTTAGAACAGCAATAATGAAGACTTTGATTCCTTTTTGTTGAAGAAGAGTTTTTTTTTTTATGCTTCTGTTGCTTTTACTAATTGAAAGAATATAGTTTTAATTAATTTTGTTGTGCTAAATTCATGATTGTAACTGTTTCATTTGGTTAGCTGAGGTGTTCTTTTGTGTGAAGTATTAATTATGAAAGTCAAGAGCCATTTATAACAGATTAGTACTTAATTCACTTGGGGAAAATGTAAGTAGTATAATACAGTGATAAAATAGGAAGCTGATTTACAAAATCAGTGGCTAGGTGGAGTTTATGTACATTTTCAGAGAGGTCAAAATGAGATTAAATGAAGGAGTTAATGCTTTCCATAATACAATACCTGTAAGTTGTTAGGCAAGATGAAATCGTGATGGCTCTCTGTTGTGAATTTTATAAGCTCAGTAGTTAAACCTCATTATCGCCTTTTACTTATACGTCAAATGGAAACCAGAATTTTGAGAGTGGTTGTCTAAGGTACAATATTTATTTGCATCCATCCCTTGATTTCCCATTACTCAAATCTTTGCCAATTGAACAGAATCAAGAATTAACACTATTATGTTTCATATGTAAAGATAGGACTTTATGTGAAGCTTATTATCTGTAATACTTTATGTCTGAAATCACTTATTCTACATTTATTGAAAGTGCGATTTCATTGCTCTATGTTAAAGGAACATTAAAGATTTAAACAAAAATTATATGTAGTTTTGTACACATAATTTCTGTTAAGGCTTAAGACATTTCTTAAATTATAATGACATCTTTATGAAGATTAAAAATTTGGGTTCTGTACTGTTGAGAAGGTCATTATAGTACATTAAAGTTCTCAGAACTGGAGCATTTTACTTATAAAGAAAGAGCTTTATATCTCTTCTTTGACTAAATGACATTTTGGAAGCTACAGAAACCATAGTTGACTTTTTTCCATGTACTCTATATATTTAGAAATCTTCAGTTCATTGTGCATAAAATAATATATTGTTAAGAAACAATTAGTGCATTTCCAGGGTATAGCAGGAAGTGAGTTAATATTCGAAATATAAGGCCATCCATATTATCACTCTATAGTTTTATCTCTATGTCTGTCTATATCTATGAACAAATCTATGAGTAAATATTTATCCAGTTTGTGAAAGACTCCTAAGTAGATGGGTTCAATGAAATAAAGACTATTATTAATTTTAAATTAATGGATTTTCTTTCAGCCTTTGTTACATTGATGTGTCATTTATAATGTGACAGAATTGAATAAATGACTGTTTTATCACATTAAAATTTTCTGCCTCTTTGCCACTTTTACTGCTCTCTTTTGTAAATTGTGCTTTGTTATTTTTGTTTTTCAGTTAAACATTGTCTTCACTATTTGTTTATATACTTGTCTTTCTTCCCAATATATACTTGCTTTGCCTTTCTGATGAACTTCATCCACATTCAATTTTCTTTTTTACTCTGAAATGCACATTTTTCCCCCTGGAGCCTATCATTCATATATGTTAATCTTTGGTTTATGTGGATGCAATGAATAATAAGTTCTTAACTTAAAAGGGAAAATAAAAATGTTGATGAATCTCTTTTCCGAGCACATTATATTGACCTCATTTTCTCAATACTATACTTCAAGCAGTTCAAAGAAAGTGTGTATTACAGAAAAGTATACATGGACTTCAAAACTTTTTTTTTTAACTCCAAAATAAACTTATCATTTAATTCCATTGTCCATGAAATTTGTCGGAATTTGTGTGTATGTCAAGACCAGAGGCATTTCTGTATCTGAATTAGTTTTCCTTGACTTTTTTTTTTTTTTTTTTTGCTATCTTTCCTGGTTATTTTCTATTTATTTGAAATTTTAAATCTTTCTCATTTATATTGTACAGTGGGAAGAGATTGGTGAAGTGGATGAAAACTATGCCCCTATCCACACATACCAAGTATGCAAAGTTATGGAACAGAATCAGAACAACTGGCTTTTGACCAGTTGGATCTCCAATGAAGGTGCTTCCAGAATCTTCATAGAGCTCAAGTTCACCTTGCGGGACTGCAACAGCCTTCCTGGAGGACTGGGAACCTGCAAAGAAACTTTCAACATGTACTACTTTGAGTCTGATGATGAAAACGGGAGAAGCATCAAGGAAAACCAGTACATCAAAATCGATACCATTGCTGCTGACGAGAGCTTTACGGAACTGGACCTCGGTGACCGTGTCATGAAGCTGAATACAGAGGTCAGAGATGTGGGGCCTCTGACCAGAAAGGGCTTCTATCTTGCTTTCCAAGACGTTGGCGCCTGCATCGCTCTGGTTTCTGTGCGTGTGTACTATAAGAAATGCCCTTCCGTGGTGCGACACTTGGCTGTCTTCCCCGACACCATCACTGGAGCAGATTCTTCACAGTTGCTGGAAGTGTCAGGCTCCTGTGTCAACCATTCTGTGACAGATGAGCCTCCCAAAATGCACTGCAGCGCGGAGGGGGAGTGGCTGGTGCCCATCGGGAAATGCATGTGCAAGGCAGGATATGAGGAGAAAAATGGCACCTGCCAAGGTGAGTTGCGCCTGTGGCGCAGGGGCCACCTGCCTCGCTTGCAGCATGTTTATGTGTTTCCGCCCATGATCCTGAGCAAATGGCCTTTTACTTTCCTAATGTCTTTAGATTATTTCTCTTCTCATTTGATTTTTCTCTTCTCAGAATTTTAAAACTTTTGGTAATGATGATTTAGTCCAGTATTCTATTTGCTATACATAATTAATATCCAGAGAGTTTCTGACTTTTGGTGTAATATTTCATATTCATTTTGCTTTCAGAAGTTTTAGTTTTGAACAACCCAAGCCAGGAGATTAATACCTTTCATTGCATGATTATTTGCTGCTGCTGTGTGATTTCTCTCCATGAAGCTGTTTTCTACCCTTCACTTGCTATATGAAATTCCAATGTAAGATCTTAGATGAGGTTTGTTTTGGCCTACTTTTTACTGCCTTTTAAAAACTTCAGAAGTGAGTTCAGCCATATGAACTTCAGAGCAAAACATTTGTAAGCTGACAGCGCTTAGTTTACTGTATTGTTTACATGCGGTTGCTGTTACATGCTTTCTTTTTAAAATTTACAGATCAATTTTAGATGCATAATAAGCCAGGCCCCACAAAAAGAACTACTTGGCAATATTAAAGGCCATTTCAAAGCAATTTGCTCTTGGACACTTTTTTCTGTTTTAATTTTTCTTTTAAATTGAAACTTGATCATGCATGCTTCCCTGTTCATCTGAAGGTGCCCTCGTTTTGCCCACAGCATGGTGAGTTGTCTTTTAAACTTGGATCTTTATCTGTGGTTTTCTGGAACAGGATAATAATACTTGATGTTAAGGGAAGACAGCTTATGGAGAAGAAAATAGATGTTTCTTCCCTTTAAAAAAAATTCAGTCTTGTGAGCCCAAACCCAGTTTCACCGTGATGGTGCATTCTGAGTGGCTAACGGACTTTCAAGGGTATCACCTGGGGACAGTCCAGATGCTGACCAGTCCCCTGATCCCCTCCTGTAGCTTTAGATGCTGCCTTTATCTGAAGTCCACTTTTACTATGTGGCTCAGACTTGCTCCTTTACTCAGGCTTGACTGTAGATGGATTATAGAGCCAGGAAAATGAAACTAGAAAAATTGCCTGTACATCCTAATGACTTTGGTTGATCAGTTCTTTCCAGAAACACATTGCACTGTAGTTAAATTTCCTTTTTCAGCATCAGCTCCGATTCCATGTCCTATGTATTACCATTTACAGTTAATTCTGTGGTCAGTTTTCTAAGTAATTCACAACTCTCTGCACTTGATTTATAAACACACACATCTGATTTTGTGAAATTAAAATTATGTTTCTGAAATACTTGTATGTTGGCAAAATGAATCATGGTTGATTCATAATTGGGCATAAAGGAAAATTCTAAAGAGCAATTAACTTTTGTTTCGCAGCAGAATTGTTGGTTTAAGTTCAGGTGAAATGTTAAATATAGGATCAGAAGCAGCAGAAATTAAGCACAGTGCTGTGAACACATTTCGGTCTAAAATAATGTAAATATGAATTAGGAATTACACATTTGTTAGTATTATAGATCAACATGCTGTATTTGATTATTGGTGCACATCACTTTAGGGAGTATGTGGATGCTTTGGTTCAGACCACAGTGACTTTTGCCTTCATTCAGGTTGACGGGGTACAGAAGGGGCTCTGAAGTTCTGGGGGACCAATTTTGATTGCTGAATATGATTAGAACATTCTGCTGGTACTGAAGAACTACGCTGTGGAGACAGTGTTCTGGCTGTCATATTTCTCAGTGCAAGCGTAAACGTACATCTTCTTCCTCTCCTTACACTTCAGTAACTGAGGAGGAGGGGCTGAATTGTGTGACAGCGAGATGAACTGCAGAGTGAGCAGTGCGGACCACGTTACTAAATGACTGAATTCCTGCATTTGTCCAACCCTGGGGATAGGAATCTTAGCTGTGGGTGTGAGGCAGTCTATAGACCTCACTGGGCTGAGAGTGTGGTATACAATGGAGTCCGTGAGTACACAGTGGAGTCTATGAGTCTGAGTGTTGACTCATGGTGTTTTACAGCACACACATGATGTGTGCCATTGCAGAAGGAACAATGTTCTGTAAATAACAACATATTGATTGAATAACTCATTGAATGAACAAGTACCTGTTGAGTATTTGCTTTGGAGATTGAAAACATCACAAGTACTCTTGCGGTCTTTATGGTTATACAATATGTCTATGAAAATGTGTGGGGGGGGCAGGTGTATAAGGTAAAATGCCACTATGGCTCTGACTCACTCTATGACATTAACACAGCATCCTCAGACGTTTAAATGTGGATCGCTGATGTTTTTGAACTATGCTTTCTGTCTGATAGGCCAGAAATCTCAGAATCGTCCCTGACATCTGCTTCCTACGCATTCAGTTTTAATCCCTTATAAAGTGATTATGGAAAGTACCACCCAGCTCTTTAAATCATCCACTTCTGTTTGCTTTCTCCATCAGTTTAAGAGCCTGCCTTGTTAGAATCCTGTTTTTTCAAATATAATAAATGACCAGTCATTCTGATATTTGAGCCAGAGGAATGCAACTCTTATTGTAAACACTCATTTCCTTTCTTGCCACATATGCCCTCTGCCCTATACGGATTCACGTTATTATACACATCAGTGGTTTTCTTTAAGCCAGCATTTTTATAATCGTCTTAAGTCCCTACATGGTTTTGCCCTTGTCACCTCTGCAGACTCTTCTTCAACTATGCTACTGCCCCTGCCCTGTGCACTACCCATACTAGCTCTTTTCAGCTTCTCAAAGGCAGTTTGCTCACTTTTACTGTTTGTTCTTTTGTGACTCTATTTTCTCCTTCTGGAATTTTCCTCTCCTTCATTTATGTTTGGTCAGTGTGTGTGGATCCTCCTCGTCTGTGCTCCAGTATCCCCTATTCACAGAAAGCTGTCTCTGTGTTCAAGACAAGGTCCAGCCTAACTGGTATTTATTCACTTATTCTTTCAGTCATAGAATTCTTTAGATTTAATGCTTTTGCAAATGTTTGTTGATCTACTACTTCATTAATGACTCTTCCCACCCTGGTTGTACTGCCTGCCCATTGATGGCAGAGGTGATGTTTGTTAACTTCAGGAATAAGAAAGAAACCAAATGGCTAGGGGAAGGAAGTGAATTCCAAAGAGAGGAGAGGGCACATGCAAAATCATAAAAGAACGCTGTGTTTTAAAATACTGCCTTTACACATGTGTATTGTCCATGTAATTCTCCTTGGTCCTTCTGAAAATTGACAAACATGTCTTTTAAATTGAACCTTCCTTAATCCTATGCCGATCGGACCAAATTCTGAAGTCCAGGGTATTAACTCACATGTGATTGACACTTCCTATATTAACTATGATAGAGGCCATCTTAGTGAATTTTGTATATATCAAAATATATTTATAGCATGACATTTGATTACTCAATTTCTTTGATAACCAAACTGTTAGGATTTAATTAACAATATATTATGCTGAAGTTTGAATGTATCTGTTGTAATGATTATCATAGTATAGTGATATTTACTGCAGCTGTGCTGGAAGATGTCCCAGCACTGTCATGCCCATGACCTGTTATATGTGTGGAGCCTGATGGAGGGGACCGAATGTCTTTTAGAGGCTACATCTCTGGTGTTCAGAATGCTGGCTGGCTCCTGAACACATGACCTGACTCCAGAAAATCACGGAGCCATGACTGAGGGAGTCAGGTTGAACAGTTCATGATCTGTTGTCTTCATATGACTTCCTTGAAGAAAAGTAGAATTCCTTACCTCTAATAATGATTTTGCTGAGATAACAAAGTATTCGTTTCTGTTGTAGTAACTTAGTATAGTGCACATTTATTTTTGTTAGTCTTACTCATATGACTGAATTTCCAATAATGAACTGCTTAAGTACACCCATTTATTTCTTTGAAATGTTCTTTACATTTAGAAACAAATAATATCCCAAACCTATTTATCTAAGTATGTTTCCCTACTTGTTATTTATTATTATTTCTAATGAAATTCATGCTATTTTTCTTCCCTTACGAGACACAAGCAGACTATTTTTTGAGTATAAAATGGTTAGCAAAAACCCATTTTGGGAGTTTCTGCTTTTTTATTGAACTGAATGTGTTTGACAGAAGTAATTGAGATCACATGAATCAAATGTTGCCTGCTGAGTTCTCTTGTGATTATGTTGCTGCTTTACTCAGATGCAAGGCAAGACCACTAATCTTCATGAGTTGCAAGTGGAATGAAGTTGTAATTTGAAATTAGCCTTAGATAATTATAGCTTCACTTATGTCAAATGGAGGGAAGAGATTTAGATAGTGGGACACTGCCAAAACCAGTGAGAATGATGAGGGTATGGAGTACAAACTAGAATGCAGAGTGAGGGGGGATCCACGCCAGGGGCTGTGGAGTAAAGGCACTTATTAATTGTCCAGCTTGGAGGTGATTGCACAGTTAGGAAAATGTAGTGAAAATACCCGACTCAAGAAAGATCCTTGGTTCAGAAACAGTACAGATACAGCAGGGAGCAGTATGTCGGTCATTCATACTTCTGGTGTGTATTTATGATGAGACGAAATTGGCTGAGACTATACTGGCTTAGGTGTTCGTGTAACTATGCATTGGACAGCCTAGTTATTTTTAATTAGGCACAATACCAAAAAACAGCAAAGCAGTTGAACTTTTGGTTCAACTTGGGATGTTTTATGCAGTAAAGGGAAGCTGATTTTAATTTCAAAATTTGAAGAAATTATGACAGTACAGAATGTCAGTGGTGTGTATGTATGTATGTGTGTGTCCCTGTCCTGCAGCTGAGAGGAGACACCCAGGCAATTAAGTAGCTATTTCAACAGATTTACAGCTGTCTCACATGGTCTTTTTTTTTTTTTTAATAACAAATAAATTGCTCTGTGGCATCCTTTCAGATTAGTTCTATTAGACTATGTCCATATTTGGTTTTGTTTGTTACTTTTAAAAA